GTCTTAAGCATCTTGTTCACGTCACTTGCAATTGTGGCGCCTCGCTTCTATCTGCATCTTGCATTTCGCAATTTGTCCAGCAATCCTCACGTTTTGCCACAACTCTGGAGTAATCCGATGAGCGACAACCGCAAAATGCAACAAAAAACACACAATTTCTGCTCCAATTCTGTAAACGATTTGTTTCGTCTCCTACTGGATGGACAGCTGAAGTGTGCTTCCACAGCGGCCAGCTTGTATAAACACTTGTATGGGCGGGTGTGCGGCAGCCACTCAGCGAGATTGCCGATTGCTATTAGCATACGCTGAATTGGCTTCAAGATTTATTGCGCCGCAGGCCAGCGCAACCGTGGCGAATTTGCATTTCGAAGCATTGCGCCCCGTTGAGCAGCAGACAAATTGTGCGTTCATGTTGCACTTGGCATGCTGCAGATTGCCGTTAAGGGTACGGTACAGTAGCCAGGCGATTGCTATCATTACGCCGCTTTGCGCTTACTCGGGCAGATGCGGCGTTGGCGATAAAGTGCCGGATCCAGCGAGAACTCCACCCACTTTTCACAGCACTGCAAGCTTGTGAGCTGCTGCTGCTGCACGGACTAGTGGCACTCGTGTGCTCGTTGCGGCAATATGCTGTTGTTTACAAATTGCGAATTAGGCCGCATATTTGCATGCGATAGCGGCCTGTTGTGGCAACTTAATAAATGGTTGCACGTTTCCAACAGCAATCGCAAGTGGCAAGTGACCTATCTTGCTTGCCACAAATTAAATTGCAACTCATGCCTTGGCAGGAGTGGCAGTGGCGCATGTGTTGGTGTCGTTGTTGCAGCAGCAGTACACGTGCAACAATCTGTTCATCTGCCCAACTGCTTGTGGTTGTTTGGTGGTCGCACGCATTTCTATTTTTATCTTTGTTGCTGTTTCAGTCCACCGCTTTTGTTGTCCGCCACTTGTTGCTAACACGCAACAACTACCATAAACGCAACGTGCAACACTGCCGCAATAATGGAAATATTAACGACAGTGCGGCTGAGCTGTAAGTCGTGCGCGCGCAATAATGAAATCGCCGGAGTTGACTCTCGGCGCGGTGTGTCGGGGGTGAGGGTATGCGCCTGCGCACACACAAACCAATTGGCTCTACATGGTAGCAAGTTGCTGGAGTTGATTGTTGCGTTTTGGTGGCAACATAAATCAAAAAGGATTACTCAGTGAAAACTGCTGATATTGCTGTGCGTTACGTAATCACTGTAGCAGTGCAATATTGCGTGGTTGAGGTTAATGGTGTCAGTTCTGGCAACGGGAATTGGGCTTGATTCACGCGCATGCGTGACAATTGGTTGCGTGCAATAGAAGCCAATAAAAAAATACACATTAAGACATTTACAAATCGACGAAGCGCTTTGAGCATATCACAAATTTGCAGAGATGGCTAATGTTTTGGCTATGTCTTCTGGTTCGCCGAAAGTAAGACTACCGAGATGTTTCAGCGTAAGGCTTGTCAATGTAGGACAATGGAAGAGAAGTGGCTGGATGTTTTCACTTCAATCTTCTCCTTACAACTTTGACCACTAACGTCCGACAAGATGTATAGTCTTGCCTCATGAACGACTATTGAACAATGTCCAATAAGGACCCGTAATATTAACTTTGCTCAGGGCAAGTAGTTTCTTTTGTCTTCTGCGTTCTACTCTAGGCCAAAAGTATAACGAAGTCGCAGAGGATCTGGTCACCTAACAGCGTCTGCTAAGCGCACACGAGGTCCATTGGTCTAGTGCTTGAACGCTAGATGGCAGTGGAGACCCAACTGGGGCTCATTTTGATATGAGCAGAACAAAGTACTCGTATACCCCTTTGCATTGGCTAGCGATTTTGTTGTGACCAGTCACCCAAACGAGCTTGATTTCTAGTGAGCACAGACACTACTTGACTAGATTCTTCGAGCGCACACTAAACGAGTCAAACGCTAGGTTTTCCGCTCTGTACTCGGAGTAATTGCCCACCTTTCTGTGAGAGGCTGCACTTCGTAGTAGTACATCTAACCATTTTGACAACAACCACTTTTGCTTGGAAGCCCTAAGATTGATGGGGAGCGCCTTATAGGAAGCTCCCCTCCAACCTTTCCTCCTACATTCATGTTTTTAATACCACCAGACGAATACACAAAAAATAGGGGTAAAGCGATCTTTTGTTTAGTAGCTGTCATTTTGTGAATCAATTTTACCAATTTTGTTGGAATTTTGCGATGATCTTAAGGGAAGAAATCCATATTCAAGATTTCTTCCCTTAAGATCATCGCATTCCTAAACTATTTTCCCCAAATACTTTATGAATTACCAAATGGAAACCTCAGATCCATAAGACTGCAGGAAATGTCTAGAGCAGGGCAAGGGTTCCCATATGATATACTGGTGGTCCCGGTATGATATATTGGAGGAGGTATCGATAGTGAGGCCGCATAGTATGCTAAAACTCCCGTCAAGCGCCGGCATCCTAAAGAATGGCTACCCCTATTGGACTTGGCAACTAAACTCCATCTGGTATCGCCAAGGACCAAACTGGTCTATGCGTGGCTTATTGGCTTACCAGATTAACCTAACCTAACCCAAATAGGAACCTGTTGCCAACTTCGAACTTCGACTTGTGACCTTGCGCATACTTGGCGACCTTGGAGAACCATGTAAAAGTGGTTGAAAAGTATGAATTTGAAACCGAATAGTTCACACAATGACTAGGCGCGCTGTATAGTATCACATACAAGTATGTATGCTTTTTTTTATTATTTTTTTATTATACTTTGTACAAGTTTCCAGACCATCATTTATATAAGACCATAACCTCGCAGCGCTTTTGTAAGAAAGCAGACACTTGTTAATTTTTAGGAATCTTATCCTATGAATTCCGTTCGACGTTTTAAACGTCATTAAAGTAAAAGTCAAATTATAATGGTTATTTCATTACCGCAAGACTTCTCGGTATTTTACCAATTCACACTCATTTTGGATTACTTTTAGCTTTGTTGTGTCTTTGTTCACGCTACAGTTGGTATTGTAAAACAGTAGACCCACCTCAGCATTACTCGCATCTGCATAATATGTGAAATATGATTTACTTAGTAATTTGTTGATTAGTTAGGTTAGGTTACTAGCACACAACTAACAGCACTTCCTGATGTTTTAAGCATATTTTAATTAATATGAAGTAAAGAGCATCATTAATATCATCAACAATTTAGTACCGCTCCTCTTTGCCGGCCAATGCTGATTCATTCGCTGTTAAATGGTCAAATGGTGTGACGCGCTGCTCGCGGGCATTTTAAGTGTTACTTTGTCGAACAAAAGCATGGTTGATTGATGAAATCGCGCCACGACAGCTCTGGTTTATTTTCGCCTAATATCCCCATTATTAATACACAAAATATTTTCTTTGTCGTCCGCTTCGTTGCCAAAATAGTGTGGCGTTATAGTTAAGATCTATTGTTTCACGTTGATTTATGACATTTTAATGTGTCCGTCGAGTGCTTTGAGTGCGTTCGAAAACAAGTATGTAGGTATGTTGCAGTATTCACAGCTGTAATAACAAGTATGGCATGTATCTTACTCTACTTTTCATTAAAAGCCTTTCTATGAACTTGTGCCGGACTTGTTCGTAAGAGCTCTAAGCTTTTTGATTGTTTGAGTTTACCAAAAGCAGGTAGAGATGGAGGAAAGTATGAAGTCAAGTGTTGGAAATATTTAAAAAAATTATGATGATTTCTACGAAAACGCACCAGCTGAAACTGCTTTGAGAGAAGTTCATTATGATCCTTAACTGGGAGCATAAGGCAACCGGTTATAGTCCAAAATGCAGTGTTCTGACATGTTGTGGATTTAGTTGAATAGAGTGTTAGGTGCCGTCCAGCGAGGAAGCTTTTACTTTTGAGCACATGCCATCAATTCCATTGCCCGACGTCATTATCGTGCAATCATCAGATGTTTGAGTCCAGAGTTTTGAGATGTAGAAGTTAAGCAGCAACGGAGACAGTACAAAACTCTGTGGAACGCCCAGTTTAATTCTTCTAAATTTAGAGCTTTTCCCTCGAAACGGTACAAGTGATTCCGCTCAGGTAGTTTATTGTCCACGTTTTCAACCCAGGAGGGAGCGTAGATTTATCGATGTGCTCAAATAGCGCTGTGTGGTTGACTGTGTCAAAAGCTTTTGACAAGCCCAAGCCGGAATGCAGCGAGCGGTAGACGCAGCGATCACCTTCCAGAATGAAGCCATTGCTTTAGTGATGACAAACTTAATCTAAAACTCACCGATCCAAACGAGCTTAGATCACCAAAAAAACAGCCTTTTGCCGGATAAAATCAGGGCCAATTCCAATAACGGTAGTCGTAGAATCGGCATGTATTGTTGGCTAAAACAATGGTGCACACTTCGTACAAAGTTCTTGTAAGGAATCTTTTGTATTTGTGAAGGGCATTAAAGCTTGATATTCATCAACAGAATAAAATCAAATGAATGCAGACCTTCTTGATTTTCTGTAATCCTATGACATTTAAGACACTACTAATTCATAGAAAGCAGTCAACAGCTGTCAAATCAATGTCAGCTGATTAGATTGCCTTAACAGTTACATTTAAAAACACATACGGTTATACTTCATATAAAAATATAAATTTATTCACAGATGTAAATAAACACAATTGTGGTTTAGTTTAACTATTAGCATAAATACACTCACATATAAATGCTTTTTACTACGGCTAATACAGATTAATACAAATGTTATTTGTGTTTGGATCAGTACTACTTTATAAAAACATAAATAAGAGGAAACGGTATGGCTACAGCCATTGACATAGAAATAGGGTGTGCTTTATATAATTCTTATATGAAATGCAGAACTTGCGAAATCCGAAATTGATTTAACTGGTATGTTGGTAGCAGCTTAAAAATATTCGAAAGGAATGTATAGTATTTGTTTTTTATGAGGGAAAATCCGCTGGTGTACAGGCCATATCGTTGCTCAGCTGTTTTGCATCAAATTTTTCCATTGCCGAAATCTTCGATTTTCAACAGTTCGCACGAGAATTTGAACAATTTCTCACATTTAGCTGGATCCTTGGCATCGCTATGCATTTGGCCAAGTCCACCATTGCTCAAGTAGGTGCCACCCTTGCCTTCCAACTTAGGGTCGATGGCGGCTAAAACGACGGTGCGTGAACCCTGCTCGGGATTTTTGAATAACAGCTTCTTTACGAACGGCACATAAGTGGTGGCGCTGTGCTCGAACAGATCGGTGTCGACAATGCCCGGATGCACCGCATTCACCTGTACATGCGCCGACTGCGCGTTCAATCTCGTTTGCAGGTGACGTGTAGCGAGGATTTGTGCCAATTTCGATTGACTGTACGCAGTGCCGGGGTAATAATTTTTGCTGCGGACGAAAAGTGTATCAAACAATTTCGAAAAGAAAAATAAATAGATAGTGAGGTGATTATACTCACAGTCCATTGATGTCGTTATAGTTGATGCGTCCAATCAAATTCACGCAGGAGGAAATGTTTACAATGCGCGCGTTTTTGCCTGCTTCGCCGGCTGCCTTTAACTCGGGCAACAGTAAATGTGTAAGCAAGAAGTGACCCAAGTAGTTGGTGGCGATGTGAGATTCGAAGCCATCGGCGGTCAGCTTGAAGGGCGCAAACATGATGCCAGCTACGGATGAAGAATTGTTAGTTTACATTATAATTTTGCCAATAAGCGTGCTTTAAACTCACCATTGTTGATTAGCAAGTCCACTTTGTTGAAGCGCGCCTTTACCTTTTCAGCGAATTTCTTAACGGATGTGAGATCACCGATGTCAAGTGGTTCACATATCAGTTTGCCGCCGCTTGAGGTGAGGTCGACAACGGAAGTGACCGCAGCTTCGGCGCTGGCCGGCTCACGCACACCTGAAATACGAGCAAACGGTCAACATAAGGAACGAGCTTAAAAATTTAAAAAATCGCGCCTAAATGTATACTATATAAAGAAGTGAACACAAATTGCACGAAAGTTTGAAGCATACTTTTAGGCATAGAGAATGCTCAACGATCAAGAGACAAAATGTGGCCAACTTCCGTTGAAGCTTTTAAGATTTTATATTCAAATAAAGTGCAATGCTTGTGTAAATCCCAGATTTGCGCAACAATTGACTCAGCTAATTGAAAATATGTTCACGTCTGCCATAAATTCTACGGTGTCTCTTGATATTGAGTGATGAGTTTTTGTTGCCAACGAATTGTCATTCTGCAAGTTAGCGAAAAGATTTGTCGGCAAGGACGCTTACAACGCGCATGCGCTGTGGGTTTGGGGTCTGCGAGCCAAGCATGCAAGCGTTTAACATTCAACTCACGTACAAATGAAATCTTAGTACACTTACAGTACCTATACAATATAGGTGTGTAGTCTTTTTATGTATACCAGAGACATTTTTTGATATTGATAGTGGACTCAAAGCGCACAGATCGAGGATTCGAATTTTTAATAGCTACAAATATTTCTGATTTTATGCGGAACCGATTTAGGACCACTGCAGCATATAGCTATCAAAAAAAAAAAAAAAAAAAAAAAAAAAAAAAAAAAAAAAAAAAAAAAAAAAAAAAAAAAAAAAAAAAAAAAAAAAAAAAATTACGGAAATTATCGGAAACAAGTGCTTGTATGGAAAACTTTTTCATTTGAAAATATATGTATGTATATTCACGAAATTTCGAAATTTAGCTTCGTTTATGGTATAGGGTTTTTCAAGAAGAGCACTACAAAAGTCTGGGATATCTGTGAAAGTACATTCGTATGGAACTCGATATTTTTGCATGGCTACCACGGGCACGCTTGCAGAGGTACAGTTCCTGAACGTAATTTTCGGCGGTTTTCAAGCCTGAATTGGCTGATACTGCCGCAATTTCACGTTCGATATTCGTCCACTCAGCCAGAAATGAGCCTCACCGCTGAATATATGTAGTTTTTCTATGAAAATCTGGCTCATTTTCAAATTGTTGCTCAACCCAATTCACGAACATACGACAATTCTGGTGGTCAAGCTGACTCAGTTCTTGCTTCAATTTGATCTTGTAAGGATTTAGGCTAAGATCTTTTCGCAAAATTCGCCACAACGACATCACAGCGATGCCCAATGCTTGAGAACGGCGTGTGAGACACTGCTTTGGGTCTTCTTCAATTGATGCGTCAGCGCCAGCAATATTCTCGACACTACGGGCACTACTTTTTCTCACTGGCACAGTACAAGCCTGTGGCTTCAAATTGTTGGGCTATCAATCGAATATGACTACAATAAATTGGACGTAGGGCTCTTAAAGTTAATTTCACTTACTCCGAATTTCGATAGTAAATTTTAATAATTTCGTATTTATTGAAGAGAAATGTCAAAAATGCGGTCCTTATCGGTCTACTTTTGTAGCGTCCTATTGAAAACCCCATTAAAAAGCAATGCTGCAATTTCCGAAGATTTTGCTCAGATGGAGTCACTATAGCCGCCACACAACAACAAACAAAATTTTATGTTGTTTTTTGTGGCTGAATCTGTGCATAGCTGATTAGATTTGTTTAAAAAATGATCATTTTCGAAGGAATAAGCAGAATATAAACGATCTTATTCGTATTTTAATAGTCGCAATTTGTATCAGTAGTATTCTGTAATATACGAACTTACCCATTATAACCGTTATATCACAGGCGAGAAGTTTCTCCACAATGCGAAGTCCAATGCCACGGTTGCCACCCGTAATTACAGCTACACGTCCAGGTTGCTTATAAAGCGCTAAAATAAAAGCAAAATATTTGCACACAATAAATATTTAGATAATAAAAGCAAACTTTAATATTACGCAGGCGTGATTGAAGCTCACTTAGGAATGCTATATCGAACAATTACTTTACTTCTTCTTCTTTACTGACGTAGACACCGCTTACGAGGTTTCAATTATTTTAATTAGAATACATAAAATGCAGTTAAGCATTAGAACTCACCGACGCGATCGCGTGAACGATATGTGAAATCGTGTATCAGGCCCACGAGGCCAATGTATTGGTAGCGCAGCTCCGTTTTCAGCTCATACCAGTTCTTTGGCATCTCCTTGGAGGTTTTGGCAAAATAAAAGCCACAGAATAATATCACGAAAATAATAATAAAGCAGGTCAGCATTTTGGATGATACTGCTCAGTTCGATTCAAGGCAGAAAGAGCTGCAAAAAAATAAAATAAAAAAGAAAGTCAGTTTTTGCGACATTTTAATGCTTCAGTACAACATAGAAATTGTGATAAGCGCAATAACGATAAGCGTCACACACTGCTTCTGCTGATAACTGTCGCATGACGATAATAGATCAAAGTTCAATTATGATAAACCGTTAGCTGGCCGGCTGCCTTCGTATTCGCTTACATTTGTTAGGTTTATGAGTATATACATGTCAGACTTCGACAGGCACTCGGATGACGCAGCTTGCCTAAAACATATTTCGAAGTACGTGCTCATAAGTTTCTATTTTACCGAAGCATTTTCGTGGCTTCTTGACTTTATAAATGACCAAAGACAATTAATTTAATTTTCAGACCAAAACTTCTTCAAAGCGGGTATATAATCGATTTCAGCATATCTTTAGCGCAGAATACTTCCTAGTTCTGAGCAAACTGGTTTCAACAAACAAATTTAAAACAGCAACATTAGCATAACGAAAAACAAAACAAAAATATTGTAAAAATAGACAAACCCGTTTGAGGAATGGGAGCTTTGCAAGTTTAATTATCCGCAGAAATGAGCCTACTGTCGAATACACATGTCACATTTAAAAATGTGTTTGGAAAACATGAAAAAGAGATTAAGGTCGCCTACGCTGAAACCATAATACCCTTAACAAATGGTAACTATTGTGTAGTCGAAAAAGTCTTTTCGTATTTTGTCAATAGATGTCGTTGCAGTCGTATATCCGCAGTGCTACCAATCATATTGCGTCATACCATGTAGTGTTGGAAAGGTGAGATTTTAAGCTTCTTTTAGCCAAAATAAAATTAAATTCAAAGAAGTTACGGCTGTTCAAAAATGAGTGAAAATAATGAATAAATTTGCTATGTTTTGAAATTTTGGATAAAAAACGGAAAAATGCCACGCAAGCCATCAATGAAATTTGTGAAGCTTACGGAGACGATACTGTATAAGTTCGTGTAGCACAACAATGGTTCGCTCGCTTCCGCTCTGGAAAGATGCACCTCGCTCTGGTCGACCTATCGTTGAAAAAGTGGATGAAATTGTGGAAAAGATTGATCAGAACCTTCACATAAGCAACCATGACATTGCTAAGAAACTTAATACTCATCATCAGACGGTTTCGAATCATTTAAAATAGGTTGGCTACAAAAAGCTCGATGTTTGGGTACCACATGAATTGTCTGTGAAAAATTTAATGGACCGAATGAAAATCTGCTATTCTTCGCTGAAACAAAATGAAATCGAACCATTTCTGAAGCGAATGGCTGTAGGAGACGAAAGGTGGATCAAATACGATAATAATGTGCGAAAAAATCATGGTCCAAGCGTGGTGAAGCTCAACAAATGGTCGCAAAGTCAGATTTGATGCCGCGAAAGGTTATGCTGAGTTTTTGGTGGGATTGGAAAACAGTTATTCACTATGAGCTGCTTTAGCCTGATGAACGATTTTTTCTACATTTCACTGTCAAGAACTGATAAGATTGAAGCAAGCAATCGAAAACAAAGCCCAGAACTGATCAATAGAAAGGGCTTCGTCTTCCATCACGACAGGGCTAGACCACACATATCTTTGATGACCCGGCAAAAACTGGCAGAGCTTGGCTGGGAAGTTTTGATGCATGCACCATATAGTCAATGCAGAACTCCCTTAATGGAGTAAAGTTAGATTCAAGAGAAGACCGTGAAAAATCCTTAAATCCTCAAAAGGACCTTTAAGTATTTTACAGATTTTGATACACAAGTATTGCAATAGCATGAAATATTCGGTTACATTTCTGGATTCTCTGCGGCACATGCTGTTGTGATCTCAAAGCTAATGTTGCCTTAATAAGCGCATATTTCGCTTCGAGTGGCATTCTCTAGAGCATTTCAAACATTTTCGCACTTTTGTTTGTAGAATTCAACGGCGCTTGCGTGTGCTCTTCACAAAGACTGTAACCAAAGCGCTTTCTTATCTCGATACTTGGCTAAACTGCTTGTTTACATATCCATTTGTGGCGAGTGTGCGCACCAGCGCTAGCGAAATTGAGGCGCGTAAGCGTGTCAACGAGGCCGTAACGGTGCTCTTCGCGCCGCAAAGCACTTGCTTGCCTTAACTGCGTTTACACGGCAGTGACAAATATTCTGAAGATAGGAAATATGCATAAATTATTATTGTCAGCTAAATGACAATCATAACAAAGCGTGTTGAAAGTCAAGCCTTAAATGTCACAAAGGAACCTTTTTAATAAAGTTACTTCAAAACACTCGAATAAAAGTTAGCGCCATGCAACTGGATGCAACTACTGGCATGCCAACAGTTGTAGAAATATAGTAGCTGTACAAAGTTGTTTAGTTGTCACACCTTTAGTTGGCGTTGGCAAATATAATCTTTTCCAGTTTTATAGTGTTTATTTTTTACTTTAAGTGTTGACTTCACGGTTGCTTGAATTGCACTCTAACTAACTGAGAAATGTAATTCACTACCGCCAAAAAGTCAACAAATAACAAAGTGACACCTGAGATTGGCTTTTGTACTTTCGAACTTAGATATTCTTGCATCAATATGTTAGTAACTGCATAAATATATCATAAGAACGCACATAAAACTAACACTTGTAAAATGTGACTTTGGCTAGAACCCTTTAGCCTTTGTCCACGGTTTTGGGCGGTAAAATAGATCCTTTTATTTGCAGAAAAAATATTAAAGACGCTTGCTTTGTTTGAAATATCAAAAATTATTATTATTATTATTTTATTTGGAAAAATATACAAAATATTAAACCTAATAGTAAGAAAGGAGTACAAGCTACTATGGCCATCGCCTCTGATATAATAGTATAAAATTACAAAGTTTATACTTTATTATAAAAATTACATTCTTTTAGAAAATTACATATATAAACAATGTTTGCGAAAGATGGTGTATTTAACAATGTTTGATATTTACATCAAAAATTTAAATATTTTTCTTTACAAACTGGTTTTTTATTTTTGGGCCAAACGCGTGAGCTTGTACGGAAGAGCTGTATTATGAAATTTTACAAAGTTGACGCTTTACATACATACGGATATATAACGGCAATCAAACAAAAAGATCAAAACATAAAATGTTGAAGCTTTTGTAACTACGGATATATATGAATGTATTGCGCACACGTAGGTCAGTTGCTTGTATTATGAAGGGTTACTGTGCCAGATGCCAACTACAGTTAAACTGAAACTAGTTTCCCTGCGATGACCTGATGGTTAGTGCCGACTTGACCATGAATCTCGACACACAGGAAGCTCTTCAACTGGCTGCTTATGAGATGCTTGCCGTGGTCAATTTGAAAAAAAAAAAATCAGAACAAAAAAGTACTTCTGCACCGAAACAGTATTACCCTTAAAAAATAAAGTGAAAATCGTGCACTTATCGTTTATTTTGTAATACCAAGAGCAAACTCTAAAGCGACTGTTGGGCTGGTATATAAGAAGCCCCATTCTGAGGGACCAACCGCAGCAAGCTCTTGTAAAGGTGGGTCAGCGGGTACTGCTCGCGTGATGGCTAGAGAAAGCCATTAGGGTTAAAGAATTCGCTGTTGGAACCTTCCTTGATATTGAAGGAGCTTTTAATAACGTCCTGTCACAAACAGTCGTAACTGCTCTGGACGGTGCAGTGATTTCTTTGAATTCAGTAAGGCTAGCCTCTCCTTAGTTGTGGGCGTTTAAACAGGCTATTGTCCTCTTGGTGTCCAGGTTCGTATCTGGGTGCCGGGGTATAAAAGGGTAGCCGGCAATGAGCTGCCCGAAAAACTAGCCCTCTCTGCGGCAGCGTCCAGGATGACAGGGTCAGAACCATGCATCGCAGTGGGGTCTCACACTCTGAAGGAGCCGTTCCACACGAAAGAGAGAATGGGGAGAGAACAGCACTGGCAGCACAGGCAGAAGAAATCCGCCAAATCAAGCGGTTACGAGGGTTCAACCTCGCAAGGTTAAAGGAAATAATTAACCTCCAACGAGACAGATTCCGCCTTCTTGTTGTGCTCTATACAAGGCACTCCAGGCCCAGGAAGTATTTGTCTAACATGGACATAGTTTCCTGAGCAAACTGCGGTTCTGCAACATGGCCCAGAACACCTGATTCTGGATTGCCCATTAATTTGCAGAAGCTGGCTCAGCCTCAGCCGCGTCCAGCAGGCTCCTGTAATTGTTCAGGATGCTGTACCTTAGTGACCATGCAAAACCTCAATTTTTACTATCTATCTATCTATTAATTAGAATGTGCTTTTGTTTTTGCCGCAGCGGCAGATCTCCGTCGAATTGACCGTCCTTGGCCGGGTAAAAATTCGGGTTCGTTCCGCCTGCGTAGGCCCGATTGTCGTGGGAACTTCTATATTTATACGTTATCGGTGGTTCGACAAGTGAGCAGCTTCGTGCGAGAAAAAAAAAAGATTGGTATCTCCAAACTGAGGGATTAGTTGGCGTATTTACAAACGGACGGATATGGCTAAATCGACGCAGCTCGTCATGTATTTCGACCTTTTCACTTCCTGCTTTGCTACAACATCGTGACAGACCTAATTTACACTGCTCAGGGTATCAATACTAGATGACCTTAAAAACAAACGCGTTTGTAAACCAATATGTGTTGTAAATGAGTGTTTTGGTTTGAAATGCAGTCAAGCATATTCACCAAAGAGAGACTTTAAAATAAAAACAGAATTTACATAGAAAGCATATATAGAAACATTAATAAGGCAGAGAAGAAAGTTAAAATCAAGGCTTATCACACGAAAAAGGCAGAATTCAAAATTGTAGGAAAGCAAAGTAACTATTTCTGAGTATAAATCCATATGTATAGTATGTGTGTACAAGATGTACAATTTGCTGAGTACAAAAGCGTTGTTCAAAAGAAAATGCAAATTTGACTCGCGATGACATATGGTCGAATACACGTATGTGAATACGGCGGTGTGTGCATGTGAATATGCTAACAATGAGACAACAGTCGCCAAACGAATATGGCTAATAAACAAATTAATGCTGACTCTCATTGGCAAAGTGCCATGGAAATTGAAGGCAGGAGAAAGAGTTTGCAGCCACAGTATAGTTTGAAAAAGTGTAGCGGAGAAAATACTTAGAGTTCATTGGCAGCGGTTGGGCACAGAACACAGCATGAAGTTTAGAAATTTAATAAGAAACTGATAGCTTGTTGCCCAAGTGAGAAATGCAAATTGTATACGGTAAACCAGCATATCTACTACTTGTCGTGGGCAGGAAGTGTTTAGTTTTATTCATACATTTTTAAAAGTTTGTTTGCATATCAATTATATTTCACACACACTTAGCGTGCTACTTTAAGTTTTGCGCCAAGGCACGGATTATATTGGAAATGTGGAATATACTCGTGTACTTATAAACCTAAGAAACAGCTGCCAAAGGCGAGATGCCAACCGCTAAAAAGCGCAGCGCGCCACGAAATAGCAGCGTGTGCGAGCGTGCATTTAAGCTGATAAGCTGAACTTGTGGGTTAGTAAAGCCGTAAGATAGACAAATATTTCGGTAGACATACATACATATATAAAAGTATACTATACATATTCATGCGCGTGGCTGTGTAGAAACAAAGCAGAAGCCGCACCAAAAACTTTCTTTTTCCAACTACCTAAACGCGTGTTCGTATAAGCAGATACCAACGTTTATATATTTTGAAGATATACCTTTACGTACACTTACATATGTACATATGTGTGTATGTTTATACAACAGAAATGGCTTTTGGTGACTTCTTTTGGATAGCTATTTAATAAAATTTTCAAGATGAACTTAAATATATTAAGACTGTGAAAGTGCAGATAGCGCCAATAATTTTGAAGGCTACATACACTTCAAAAAATGTCATCCAGCTAACATATGTATGTTTATCAGTTATTAATTTTTTATACAAAATGTAGGAATATACCGCTTACCTCAGATATTAAAAAGATATTTTAGTATTTGATGTTGATTGTTGCTGAATTTATGTTAAGCGCTTTGTAGCTCTCGCCGCACGCTTTCAACGTTTCTTGTAAGTATTTTTAATTTATTGTTCAATGATAATTGCTCATAACGACCACGTTTATGTCAAGTCATAACAGTTCATTTAATTGTTGTGTCAATTAATTTCCCTCCAACGCTAAATCACTTATCACGTTTGGCGCAGTGCTCGTACCGTTCCAATTGCACCTGTTATATACCTACATATATTTAATATAGTAGCAACACTTTAATCAGCGCATTCCCGTCAGAACCGCTCGCGGAGCAAAACTAAATGTGACTAAGCGCCAAGCACTGCCGGCACGTCTTCAAAAACCACATAGCTATCACTTGAAAATTTGAAGTTCAAATACAAGCGAGCATGTGGTGTGGAGCTATCTCCCCAACAATAATATAATATTGAGCGCAACTCTCTGTTAGCTTGTCGATGTCAAAAGCAGTGAAACTGAAGCAGCATAGGAGATTAGCCCAAATGAGAGCCTTCCACAGCAAATTGTAGAAAGGAAATTTACTTTTTGCTGGCACATTCACTTTAGTTTCGTTAAAAACGTGCGCTTTACTTCACTATTTCATTTGTGTAAATTTATTAATACAACAATTCTTCATTAGCACTAAAATTGAGCTCAATTTTCTCTTCTCCATTTTCAATCAAATTCGCGACTTGCAACTGTAAACACAACGTCAACACAGCTGTTTAGACAGCTGACAGCTAACAACGTTGCCACTAGCTGAACGTATTTTTTTTTAATTTGAACGTGGGTTTTTATTTGGTGGATTTTATTGAGACATTTGTGAGTATTTTTGATGTTAGTGGAAACTGTTATGTTTAAAAAACGGTGGTACTTCGTGTTGCCTCTTTGCTTAATCTGTTTAGTACTATATAATGAGTTTTTTTTTATTGTTAATTCATTAAATTTTGAATTATTACTACATAAAAAGCTCATAGTATTGGAAACGTAAATGCTTTCTGTGTTTTTAACAAAAGGAGTCTTTCTTATGTTAATCAGAACTTAACTAGAACTTAACTGATAGGTTACTGTCAACTAGAAATGGATAAAACGACCCTAATTGGCATACAAATCTCGGTAAAGTTTCATATATTCAGCATACACTGTGTGTTTTTACAGTTCCTCAGCATACTTAAGAATGCTGTGCTGATAAGTTCCCACACACTTGCTCTCAGCCTTAAGGTTTATCTTAACTCAGTGGCGATGCTCTTTAACTGCTTAACGCTACATCCCGAAGTAGTTGCTCTGGAGCATTCGCTGTGAGACGTTGAAATAATTTGAAAAGTAAAAATTCTTATAACGGCATATCATCTGCAATAGTTGCAATGCATTTGTATCGCTTATGTAATAACTTTAGTGTGGCAATATGCACCATAACGTTGCTTTTCCTGCAACTTAGCGCCGCCAACAAATACAACGTGTCCTTGGCGCAAATGGATACGTGCAAGGAATTTCGCATAGCCAACACCGGATATGCCTACACGCAATTCTTTCACTTGCACAAATTGACCAACAACAAAGTGAACGCCAACGAACGGTTGCATTTGAAATTCTACGTGCTCGCACCGATGGATGCACACATCCTGTTGTCGACCAACGACAGGCCGCTCTCCAGGGACCGAGTCTATGAAGTGGGTGCGTAATGAAGAACAAAATACTTACACATGCGTGTATTGTATGTGTGTGTGCATGTGGTTGCAATGAATGGAATTTCGTTGTGATTTCTATTTTATTTTATCAGTGATTGGCGCCGGGCAGAATTCCTTCTCCTCCATACGCAGTCGCATGGCCTCGATGCGCGTCTCCACAAGTACGATGGCAAACATTTTGACGATGTACGATCCGACGCCCATCGAAATCATACAAACGAAGGGTACGTTCATGAATATATGTGTATGTACATATAATATATACCTTATATATATGTACATATGCATATATATGTATAAATATGTATATTTAGACGTGTGTGAGTGGCATTGTGCCAACATACTTTGTAAATATGTGTAAAAAAAAATGAGAAAGTGTCGGTACGTATATAAAAAAGTGTGAGTAAGCAGCTGATAAGCCGAGCGTGGTTAAATTAGACTGAAAATATCTCGTGTGCACATGTTCGCAGTACGCAAATCCACTTATGTGTGAGTGTGTGCTTTCTTTCTTACCGCAGATGGCACACTTTCCGTTTACATTCCGGGTTTGAAGCAGGAACCGCTTTTGAATTACACGGATCCCGCGCCGCTCGAAATCAATTATCTGAGCTTCAGTAGTTTCGGCTCGACGCCGGCAAAATGGTACTACGACTGTCAATTCGATGGCTTCGGTAAGCGTATGCATTTTTATACAATTTATGTATGTGTGTGTGTGTGTAAGTGTATTTGCTTATCTCGAAAAAATGTCGCATTTCGCAGCTGAAGAAATGGAGGAGGAAGCACATGAGACCGACCTTTTTCACTCCCTGCTAGCGAATTTGACTAAGAATTTCGCGAACGAGTCGGTGCCCATGGATCTGCAGTCGGTCAACTTCGCATTCCAACTGAAATCGGTCGTTTATAATCATGAAAAGTCGATTCTACACACACGCTTGCATTTATCGTTGGTGAGTAGCGTTGACATTGAAATCATAACGGGAAGCATAGCTGTAAATAAGGAAAATTATGATATTAGCGATTAAAGCTTTGAGCTAAGAGTTTAGTTGAAGCCTTAGCGGCGCTGAAAGTTTAATTGTAACTTAGAGCATGTGTACTAAAAAGACCTTACTCATTTCATCTCATCCTCCATCTCATCCATTATTTTATTACCTCGCGCTCTTATTTAGTATTGGCAAGATCCCAGACTTGCTTGGGATGCGGATGCGTTTGGTATTGCCGGCGTAAGTTTCGGCTACAAAGAAGTACCGAAAATTCTATGGCTACCAGACTTAATAGTGCTCAAGTAAGTTGGCGCTGTTCACTAACAGTATAACAGTTTTGATATGTTTTTTGTTTTTTTGTTTTGGAACCGCAGCGCCGCCCACGGCAGCAACACGCAACGTGAACCCGATATCGGTTTTATGATCTATGCTAACGGCAACGTAACCATGATCAACACGAACGCCGAATTCGTGACTTGGTGCGTGGATACGAAGCAAAACTGGCCGCATGAACGCCTCAATTGCGGTCTAATATTGGGCATAGAGTCATTTTCGCCGCGCACACGCGAGCCGATCACCCTGCAATACGACAATACGATGCCATTGCCTGTGGAACCGTTCAGCATGCTAAGCGAGTGGCATTTCAGACAAATAAGTATATCGCAGATTGTCAATGCAGCAAGCAATACGAGCCGTTATGATACACAAGCCATTGCCCAATCCATGAACGGCGACATATCGTTGGATTTCACGATCGAAAGGAATGACGCGTTTTACCGGAACGTCTACACGATGCCAATTTTGGGTAGCTATGCCGTCGGATAGGGGGCACATCAAGTGTTTCACAATGTGTCTATGGTTTTTCTTTGTAGCCTGTGAGACGTTGCTGGTCTTGTCTTTCTTGCTGCGCGGCTATCGACGCGGTGGTCTAATATTGGTGGTGTTCTTCGTCATCTCCATGGGTTTGATGTTCGTCACAAAGCATGCACCCACCGCCTATATACCGAACATATGTGAGTAGTTGGCTCCTACTTGCAAAATTTTGGCACTATCTATTCTATTTGTATTTCAGTGCATGCTTATCGTCATGTTATGCGCAGCGCTGCCTTCTGTTACCTATTGCATGTGGCTTTAATTTGGTTGGAGCTCTATCCTCCCAAACCGAAACCGTTCGATTGGTTGATGTCTTTGCTAAATGTGTCGGCTCTGCGGCTGTTGCTTTGTATGCGCTTGGTCGATGTAGGTTTCTAACTTCATTTTATTCAATCTTCGTTTGTATTAACGAATGCATATAGTTGTTGCACATTTTAATAAGCTAAAGTCATTTATTTTCCTTCGTCAATTTAGTGCGATCAATATGTGAGCATGCAGACACATCCGTGGCGCGAGCTGGCTAAGATGATCAACAACTGCTGCTTCATCGTCGTCTCCACTTTATTTATAATTGTCGACATTCTGCTTTTACCGAAGTTCTAGAATCCTTTGGCTTTCACTTAGAAACGGATGCTATGAGTTTTACGAATCTTTTTGCTGTATTTTAATTATTAGTTTGTATTTGTTTATGAAAATCACACAAATTATATTTTTTAACGAAAAACTGCATTTCATTTTATTTTTATTAAAAATATATACAAAGCCTTGATATAAATACATAATATTTATGCTTGTATTTGTATTTGTATGTATGCATATGTATATATATACAATATAATATTCTCATTAACCCTTTGATAGACAAATTCCGTGTTATTTTGCACCACATTCCTCAGTTACGCCATTTAGAGCACGCGATCATGCAACTTATGTGGCTGTTAGATTAATTTTTTATTAAATATTTATGCGTTTTGCATTTATCTTTCTTTTCTACTACACCACGTGATCCTGGTGTGGTCTCGACTTCGGGTTGTTGCTATAATCATATTTACTTTTCGTTTTGGCTGCACATCGGTTGTAACTCATTTAATGGTAGCCGTGGCCCAAACTGAGACCGCCTCCATAGCTGATGGCTGGAGCAGCATACTTCACGATGGATGGGGCAGCTGCAGCGTAGGAGATCGAGGGGGCGGCTAATTTAATGGCGGGTGCAGAGTACGAGATGGCAGGAGCGGCTGCAGCATAAGAAATGGATGGGGCGGCGGCGGTGTATGAAATGGATGGAGCGGCTGCGGCATAAGAAATGGATGGAGCAGGTGCAGCGTACGAGATGGCTGGGGCAGTTGCGGCATAAGAAATGGATGGGGCAGCTGCGGCATAAGAAATGGATGGAGCCGGTGCGGCGTACGAAATGGCTGGTGCGGCAGCGGCCAATGAAATAGCTGGAGCGGGTGCAGCATAAGAAATAGCAGGAGCTGCCACAGCAACTGGTGCTGGAGCCGCTACGGCAACTGGTGCTGGAGCTGCTACGGCTATTGGTGCTGGAGCCGCTACGGCAATTGGTGCTGGAGCCGCTACGGCAATTGGTGCTGGAGCCGCTACGGCTACTGGTGCGGCGGCGGCGACCTTAACGACAGCTGGAGCGGAATGCTGAATGACCTGAGAGGAGAATGGAATTTACAGCACTATAACAGCATTCTTCTCTTTTCGGCCCTGAACTCACCTGACTGAAAGTGGAGTAGCTGGTGGCGGCTGGGGCTGCTTTCACGATGGTCGGTGCGGCGACTACAGCAGGTGCGGATACTACAGCAGGTGCAGATAATACGGGTGCTGCAGCAAGGCTGATAGATGGCGCTGCGTAACTAATCGCTGGGGCGGACTGAGCAATACTAACAGCTGGAGCGGCGTAGCTTATAGCTGGTCCATGACCTAAGCTCCCTAAGCTCAGCGCTGGCGCTGCATATGATCCATGACCCAAACCCAATAATCCAGGGGCAGCGGTGGCGGCTGCGATCAAGCTAAGTACGATCTAGTGCGACACAACGGAAAGGACACGTTAAAAAAGGTGATTGGGAACATAGCAACGGTATAAATACAAGCATTTATGGTCACAAATTTACACTAGAACACACGCGTTATCCTCACCARATATTTCATGTCTGGATATGAAGGCGTTGCGGAGGATTAAAGTGATTTATTGGCGAACTCTTTCACACGTCTATTGAACGCACGCACACGATTTGCTTGCTAGTCGCTCGCTTGGTGGAGAAGTCAACTGTGATTTCTAAGCTGACAAGCCGTTACTTTTATAGTTCAACGCGTTCGATCGTAAATTAGAAAGATTATATCGAAGAGCGCGAAAACGCCACATAAAAGTGAAACAAAGGAGAGTAAGGAAGTGCCAAGTTCGGGTGTATCCGAACATAATAACTGTTTGTCACGTCTAAGTGTTTTTGATTGGACGAACCATGTCCAGGACGGCCTTCAACATCAAGAATCGACGATTAATAGTCAGAGGTCCTACCGGTATCGTTGGACTTATGGAGGGATCAGTGAAAACCTTTTCGAAAGATCAAAAAGCAGTGTCGCGTTAATCGGTGGAGTATCGTTGCAAAGGTGAGCCGAAGCCGAAAAAACAATGTCACAGCAGATAAAAAATCAAGGTTATGTTGACAGTTGTTTCCGATTATCGAGTTGCGGGGCACACCGAATTGCTTCCGGCCGGTCAAACCGTCAGCAAGGAATACTATTTGAATGCTATGCGTCGTCGGCGCGAAGCTATTCAGAAAAAGAAGTCGGAATGTGGACCGGTGGGTGTGGCTGTGTTTGGATTTTGGTCAGTTGAAATACTAACCGCTTCAGTGTGGCAAGTTCTCAAGTTTTTGCTTTTACAAATGGTCCGACGGAGAGACAAACATAAGGAATTCAACACGTTTCTTGATCTTGACCATACATACAGACACAAATCAATATATATCACGTTTGGATGTTCGAAACAACCGTTAGGCCAACAAAACCAGTATACCATAAGCAACATGTTGCGACGGTATAATAAATAACAAACAAATAAGGGCGCAAAAATGCACAACCACCCAAAGCAGAGTGGTTACAATCGGATTTTGAGGCGCTCGAAGCTTTTTACAACAAAAGAAAGACGGCTAGTGGCTCGTTTTGGCAAGCTGTGGCGGCGGAATCGATTCTTATGCTGCGCAATGCAGCACTATTGCTACTGCTTGAGATGTTTGCATTGCTCAGTGGTTGTTGTTTCTATTCTGAGCACTCAGCAATGTGTACAAATGCCAATTGCAGCCGGAATTGTAGCAACATGCGATCTTCTATGGTCCGCCGTCTGCCGTCAGCTCGGCTGGCGTCATACACCCTATGTTTGGCGGAAAGTATGTGGGAAATGAGTGAATGCATGGACTTGAGATTTTCGTTGCTACGACCGAAGAGTTTTTGGAGACTTTTTGCGTTTGATTTGCGAATTCGTATTTAAAATGCGTTTATTAGTTTCTGAGGTAAATTGGGATGTACACTAAGCTGATGCTAAGTTATAAGATAGTCTGAATATGTTTCCAACAGATTCCTCTTATAGGCGCGCCTTGTTCACTGTTATTCAGATAATTCACTTGAAAATTAATAATTCATGGGGCTTCCTTATTTGAAAAATAGTCATGGGAGTAAAATTTGAAGAATGAAAGGTATTTCAAGCACATTTTTTGAAAATGTCGGCCAAAGCGTTTACAATGGCCAATCCTAACGCAGACTTTGCGACTTGGTTGCGAATACGAAATGGAACTGACCACATGAACGTCTTATTGGCAGAGTTATGTTGGATTTATGGTAGAGTCATTTTGGTCGCGTCCAGCGCCCAATGGCCTGGAATACGACATTGCTACTGTTGCGCCTATGAGACCGTGCTATGTCAGATATTTCAGACAAATAAATATAGTCCGGATTGTCAACAAAGCAAACAATGCCGATATCACATGTGCCCTTAAACAGACTCCAGTTCGATTCAAGTCTTAGTAATAGCACTGTGTAGATTTTCAAAAATTTATTAAACCAATCGTTACAACTCTATAAAGACTTTCAAAATACGCTCCTTCTGCGTCGATGCAGCGCTGTCAGCCTGATTTTCAAGCATTGAAGGCGTTGCTGCTTGGATTTTCATCGTTCTTTTCCAGGCAGGAAACAAAAAAAGTACGATGCCGAGATGAGTTAGAGAGCTGTTAACAAGAAAAACGGTGTGAGCCGGGGCGTTGTTGTGGCGCAACTTCCAAACGGCTGAGATGTCTTGTCAGACCCGATTGACCCTTCGTTGGAGTCTCTTGAGGATTTCCACGTAAAACTTGGCGTTGCTGGTTTGTCCAGGAGGAACAAATACATGGTGGACGTTGCTTTTGATGTCAAAAAAGACAGTGAGCTTCGTTATCATGGTCTTCATCAGCGACCTCTGCCCAGCCCTCCACAAAGGCCTGGTGCCACCGAAACACATCACTTTTTGCTAAGGAACATTTGTGTAAACCTGCTTGATCATATCAAACGTCTATGTCGCAGATTTACCGAGTTTCACACAAAATTTAATCGCGTACTTCTGATCTAACGAACGCTGCATTTTCGGCTTGCACCACTCACAGAAGCACGTTCCGCAGTACAGTAAGAAAATCAGTCCTTTTACTTTCCGGACAAACGCTGTACTATAAATGGTTTGGAAAAGGGTGAATACGGCTAAGAATTAGCTAATGAAAAATATTTTTGTGTAGGGGGCAAATGATGCATATGAGAATCTGAGAATATATTGAGAAAAAAAAAGATTAAATTACCCTAGTGGAGCTGCCGGTGCGTTTGCAACGGCAAAAGATAATTTCTTGTTAATGAGCAACAAACATTTCGGTGTGTAAACGCAGACTTAGCAGGGAAAGCAAGACTTTTACTTATTTTGTTTTATTACTTATAGATGTTGGGTAGTCGAAAAAGTCCTGTCGTATTTCTAATCAAACTTCAACTTATTTTTCAATGGAGATATACGACTGCAACGACATCTATTGACAAAATACGAAAAGACTTTTTCGAGTACCCATTTTTTCATTAAAATTTTCGATAAAAATCACACAAATTATGTTTTTTTAACGAAAAAGTTCACTTAGCATTTTTTATTTCTTTATAGTATATACAAAGCACAAAAATAAATACAATATATATTTATGCATGAATGTATATTATATAAGTATGCACATATGTATGTGTATTATTAATCCTCATTAATCCTTTGATAGACAAACTCCGTATTATTTTGCACCACATTCCTCAGTTACGCCATTTTGAGCACGCAATGACGCAATTTGTTGTTGCTGTTGTACGTGTGTATATGTATGTATGTATTTTGTGTGCCATGCCATTGTGAACTTAATTTCGGCTTGCCATAATGAATATTTTATTCAAACAATTATTTATTTAGTTGAATACATTTGAAATAGAGAGATTAATGAAAATGATGAAGAGAACAATTATTGCTGAGAGCATACGCTCTTACACTCCACTCTCCTCTTATCTACATATATCGTGCGGCTGCTTGCTGTCGTTCTTGTTGTTTGTTGTTCTTGCGGTTGTTGTTATTAAGCATTGTCGTATTGATGAATCGCTTTTGTTGTTGTTATTGGCTTCTTATTGTCGACACGTTGGTAATTCATCACAACAAAGCAAAAAAATGCATTGTAAAGTACGGCGAATTCCCATATTGAAAGCAGGGAAATATATTATTTAGATCTTTAGATCTGAGAAAATCTTATTAAACCATTTAGTGACTACCAACAAAAAAAAAAAAAAAAAAGAGCAAATACTTAAAAGCGCTGACCGCCAAATGGCCATCTGACGCTATGACGTAAAGCATGTAATTCGTTATTCCATAAATCCTTGTTGCATTTGTCCTTCTTTTCCACCACACCACGTGATTGTGGTGTAGTCTCGCCTTCAGGTTCTTGCTATAATCATATATCCTTTTCGTTTTTGCTACAGTTCGGTTTTCATTCATTTAATGGTAGCCGTGGCCTAAACTGAGACCGCCTCCATAGCTGATGGCTGGAGCAGCATACTTCACGATGGATGGGGCAGCTGCAGCGTAGGAGATCGAAGGAGCTGCTAATTTAATGGCGGGTGCGGCGTACGAAATGGCGGGCGCGGCTGCGGCATATGAGATGGCTGGGGCGGGTGCGGCGTACGAAATGGCGGGCGCAGCTGCGGCATATGAGATGGCCGGGGCGGGTGCAGCGTAAGAAATGGCTGGAGCCGCTACGGCAACTGGCGCGGGGGCGGCGACCTTAACGACGGCTGGGGCAGCATGTTGAATGACCTGCGGTACGAAATTTAAATGTCAAATCAGATTTGATTGTAATGTTTCATTATAACTAACTATTAATTTAATTGAATTTGGTAGGAAACTGGTCCGTTCCTAAAATATTTATGGTTCCGAACCTCAATTTATTTATTCGGTAATAGTAATTACTTGCGGTAGATCGGAAAAAAACAAAATTCCTATTGGCACTCGACAAAAGAGACTATAGGAAAATGATCGGAATTCGAACTGTTCACTCTCTGATGGCGGCACACGCCCACAGAATGGGACCGACAGACCGAGAAGACTGCAGAAAATGTTTAGAACAGGGACCACGGAAAGAGTGGAGCATCTCTTGTGCATTTGCCCCCCGCAGTGGCAAGACTAAGCTGTAAGCATCTGGGGTCACCTCGGTATGATACACTGTTAAAATTAACTCATTTAAACACGTGTCAAGCTCAGGAATCTTGAAGGATGACTCTTGGACCTAGGAACTGAGCTCTGGTATCGCAAAGGATCAAAACTGGTTTATGTGTGCCAGTTTAAGCAAACCTAACCTAACCTTAAATGTTTTTTTGTGCGATTCTGAATCATTTTTACTAGATGGAGGCTCGAAGTCGAAATGAAATAAAGTTTTTTGCAGAGTTACCGTTATCTAACCTCCGGGTATAGTTACTTTCGTTAAACTGACTTATGAGTTACCGTTTCCTAATCTCTGGATATACCTCGGGGTTACCTCTCACTTTTGTTGAATTTATTATTGTAATACTTTTTTGCCTTACTTTAAGGATCTCGGGATTAACACTCTCTCCCCTCAACTCACCTGACTGAAGGTAGAGTAGCTGGTGGCGGCTGGTGCTGCCTTCACTATGGTCGGCGCGGCGACAACAGCAGGTGCGGAGTAAGCCTTGACTACGGGCGCTGCTGCAAGGCTGATGGATGGCGCTGCGTAACTAATGGCTGGGGCGGGGTGAGCAATACTAACAGCTGGAGCGGCGTAGCTTATAGCTGGTCCATGACCTAAGCTCCCTAAACTCAGCGCTGGCCCTGCATATCCATGACCCAAACCCAATAAGCCAGGGGCAGCGGTGGCGGCTGCGATCAAGCTAAGTACGATCTAGTGCGACACAACGGAAAGGACACGTTAAAAAGGTGATTGGGAACATAGCAACGGTATAAATACAAGCACTTATGGTCACAAATTTACACTAGAACACACGCGTTATCCTCACCAGATATTTCATGTCTGGATATGAAGGCGTTGCGGAGGATTAAAGTGATTTATTGGCGAACTCTTTCACACGTCTATTGAACGCACGCACACGATTTGCTTGCTAGTCGCTCGSTTGGTGGAGAAGTCAACTGTGATTTCTAAGCTGACAAGCCGTTACTTTTATAGTTCAACGCGTTCGATCGTAAATTAGAAAAATTATATCGAAGAGCGCAAAAACATAGCAAAATGTGCATTCTTGTATGAACCGAATTGAATGTGAAAAAGTAAAACAAAAACGAAAAACATAAAAATAAGAGAGCAAAAACGCACAATCACCCAAAAGCAAAGAGATTGCAATCGATTTTTGCAGCGTTCGAAGCTTTTGTGCGACACATTAAAGAGGTGAAGCCCGAACTTGCGCCGGCTGGCGGCTAGCGGCTCAAATCGGCAAGTTGTGGCGGCGGAGACGATTCTTATGCTGCCGCTTGGGATGGTTGCATGTCCAGTGGTTGTTGTTTCTATTCTGAACACTTAGCAATGCGTGCAACGGCAATTGTAGCAGCACGCTATCGCCTATGATTCGCCGTCTGTCGTCAGCTCGGCTGGCTATGAATGCGCACAAAGCATTAGCGGCAAGTTTGTGGCAAATGAGCGAATGAATGGAGTCAAGATTTTCGTTACAACGGCGGTTTAGTGTTTGAAGACTTTTTATCTATATATGATTTGCAATGCGAAATTAATTTATTTTGACTAGTTTGTGGTGTAAGTCGGGGTGGACACTGGAGCTGGCACTGCTGCAGCAATAAATGTAAAAGCCGAAAGAATGCTTATGCATTTTAATATGGAGTTCTAAACTATCAAAGTGAGATTCCTGTTACAATCGACCGTTTGACCTAATACTACCCATTTACTCCCACAACAATTCTCCCACAGATTGAAAACGTTTGCGGCAACTGAAATACCTGTCACTTGCACTTAACGGGCGTAGTTATCTTCATTTTAGATTTCAACTGACCCAGTTTTTTCCAAAATAGCATGCGAATAAATGCACGGCTTCTTACAGATTCCTTTTAAAGCCACGCCATGCTCTCGGTTGTTAAGATAATTTACTTGAAAATTAATAATTCAGTGCGCTTCCTTATTTGTAAAATAGTCATGTCCGCAAAAATGAATGAAAAATTAAGCATGGGAAAAACAAATAAAAAGTTACATGTAAGGGAATTTTACATTCGGGTGGAGCCCGATATAATTTGTAGATGTAATGAATGAAAGATATCACACTTTACTTAGGGTGCCTTACATACATTGGACAATCTGTGATAACTCATAGAGTTAACCAAAAGGACAGGAGCTAATAAGTTCGACATATGACCCAATTGCCATTCTACAGGGGTTCTAAGCCATGAATATTCTCGGCATGAGGGAAGAATATTGAAATAATAGAAAAGATCTCGGACAATATTAGATAAAACAGTATTACGTTTCGCTTAACTACTACTATTTAGAAGGCTGCCACTGTCATCTCAGACAGCGCTAATGAGGAAACCTTCTTCAGACCCTGAGAACAAGGTAGTCGTAGCAAGCAAAAGGAGACTATGAGAAACTCAGATCGCTTTATTCTAATCTATGTATTTGGAGCGAAGCTAAAAGGACATCAGTCCCCATACCATCCAGATCCCATATGTCCGAGTACATCGTTCATTCTGAAATTACAAGTACATGCACCTAGTCCTCTACCTCGGCCCCACAAAAACAACCCGACCTATCAGATAGGTGTCTTTCATGCAAAAATGCATTTAGACGCCCAAGAATCGTAACCAAATTTAGATTCAGACATAATGTGAAGTCTGGGTTGCACTGATTAAACCTAATGTCCGAATCTACTCACAAAACACTCGACCGTTAGTCTAACGTCTTGCCATTTGCATCTGAGCCTATCATCTAGAAGCTTTCTGCTACCTAGAAGCCCTCTGCCTCCTAGATGTTAAAGATAATGTACGAGCTGATGGTAAAGCACGGTCTGAGCTACCACACACAATTTTGGGCACAATATTGGGCATTGCATTCGTTGAAGTCTTCAATATGACCAAACTGCAGCTTTCTTATAAAACTTTCGAAACTCTTCTAATTTTCGTACCTATATTGCCTTACTGACGTCATAGCTAATTCTGCTTCTGATTCGATGTAAGCATGTGGGATCCGATTCTAGCTGCACTTTTGTAGGTCTTTCAAAGCATTTTCTTAATTAGTTGTCAGAGAACTAAATGCAGATCTCTTACTTTTCTTACCTTTCCTGCATTAATACATTCACGCAAATTACAATTTCTTTCAGTGTAACAAAGTATAGAGAAAAATGCGTAACGCCATGAATGAGTCAGTTGCCTGTGAGTGCTCAATTAAAAAAATACACCAAATGTTTGGACAAACAATTTTCGGCTTTACAAAGTTGTTAAAAATTGCAACACGCACTGTAAGCTGAAAGAATTTCAGCGACGGGTGCAACCGCATTTGGGTGTGTGAACGCTTTTTGGAGTTTGCATAAAAACTACACAATCAATTTAATACAAAATTAGTTGCATTCGAAATGTATTGCATGGAATTTAGTTAACTGGAATTGAATTGAGTTGGATTGAGACGCAACAGTTGTTACGCAAGGTTCCTAAATCATGTCTAATACAAAAATGAACATTCGAACATGGCAATATTAAAAGAATTTAAAATTAGTTTGTAAAGAATTTTCGGCTCAACAATAAATGTGTGGCATTTGAAAATATATAAAAGATATATAATATTGTTGAAAATATGAAAAAATTTGCAGAATGGTCTCCCGTGGGAGCAGCAAGTGCCTGGTTGAACGCACCCAGGCTCAACTCCGTGCGTGGCAACTCCGTCCATGTCCAAGTAGCTGCTGAGTAATGCCGCAAGCTCTTTCTTTGGCAAAATGCACCCGGTATTCATGTTGACGTCACCTTCGGTGGATTGTCTTTGCTTGCGTACCTTTTGTTGTTGTCTTTTGGTGTAGATGAAGGAGTTTCAATAAAATTGTATGACAACTCAACTGCCACTGTTGCCAGAGTTATTTAATGTATTTAAAAATATAATATGTATGTGTGTTTATGACAGCTTGCCTCTTGTATAGCCACTGCTATGACCATAACTCATGATCTGACCACAAAAAAATGAAAAACCAAAAATGTCTGGAAACAGAAAATCGTCAATTGCGTGTGACTGCGGCTGCGCGCCTTTTTTGCGTGCAACTTTTGCTGATGGTAATTGCTGGTAATCGCTGTCGTTTAGATAAGTAATAAATTAATGAAGTATTTATGCGTTGATTTACCGTTAATTGTGTATCTTGTTTCCATGCGCACGTTCCGCGTATGATATAAGGATAAATGGCGATTTAGATAACATACAGTAGTAGTTATACATAGATATCGGCACCTAAAATGCAAAACAACGTATCATCAAAAAAATCGAAATTCGAGCTTTTTATTGCTAAGGATTCTATATATCATTTTACATAGGTGTAGCATAAAGTTTTTAGCTTCCGCCTTCAGATATAACCAATATATAACGCTTCTATAACCATTATATAACCCTTCTATAACCAATATATAACCCTTATGTAACCAATATGTAACAATTATATAATCAAAATATAAACAGTATATAACCTTTATATAATCAATATATAACCAGTATATAACCATTTTATAACCAAAACTCAAATTTTGTTTCAATATCAGTGGTTTCTATTATAAAATTTTTCCTTCGCCTGTAAACTTATGAAAAGTGATGTTAAGGTGTTTTGCATTTGACGATATGTGTGTATAGATATAAATAATATTTAAAAGTAAGTAAGTAGTGTTTTAAGTGCATTGAGTGCTAATGCAGAGCGTCAACACTTTAGATAAAAACATGCCTTAAACGCTGGCGCAGTCCCCACACAACTTCGCACATCCACTCATTACAATAAGATCTATATCAAAGCCGATTTTAGTCCCAATTTTAATGGCGAAAAACTCGTTTGACTCATTTGCCGACAATTATTTAAGCGAATACACTTCTACAAATGTTTATAAATATGTAGGTATCTAAGTGTGCGCATTTTTTTACTTTCTAGGCCACAGAAGCTATTAAATATTTATAGCTCGTTTTTACAGCATGTCTTTGCCTTTTAAGGACTTATCGGTAAAATAACTAGTTTAACAAATTTTATGCACCTGCGTAATACTAAATGAAACTAAATGAAAATTTGTAATTTTGAGATTCGCTAGTTTCTTTACAAATTGGTTGCGGAATTTTAGAGCAAATTACTTTGTGATATGTGATATACCCAAGACCGTTTGGTTAGACTTAAATGAAATTATAACGATATTATGGTATTATATTGGTATTACTTGAAACTTTTGATGTTATACATGAGGCCGCTATTTGTGTTGTTTACAGTAACTTGAAATAATAATTTCTGCCAAAAATTGGTATTGAATCTCGAACATCTTCGTGCGATTATTTTTTATAACTCCCGACGTGGCTTAACTCAGCAGCAGCGCATCGATGAACGTCATTTAATTTTTGATGAAGAAGCTCCTGCAAGGACCTGTGTTTATCGGTGGTATGGTGATTCCAATGGAGTTCGTCGATCTCTCGAAGTCAAATTTTGTGAAGGTCGTCCAAAATCAGTTGTGATCTGTCGTAAGTTTGAGACAACTAAGTGATGGAGGCTGCAGGCATTAGTGTAGGGTAAAAACCAGGTTCATGTCGATTGGTCGAGAAAAATGTAAAAAAATACGATAACGGTGCTTCGATGTTTTAGGTGATAAATCGTGGATTTACACGTATGAGGGCGAAAACAGACAGCTGCCGATTATATGGGTCTTTCATGATGAGTCGAATCCAACAAATGTTGTTCACACTCGAAGCTCAATCCAATCAAATGTTGGCTGGTTTTTCTGGAGCAACTGGATATATCGCCATCATACCACTAGAAGAACGGAGAATAGTAAATTCTGTGCGGTACACAATGATTTGTTTGTCAGTTGTCTTTTAGTAAATCAAGAAAGCCAATCGCCGAAGACAGATCACTCTGTACCATGAAAAACTACTGA